ACTATGGTTAGCCAAATGTTGCAAAATTCAACAACTTGCACCTTCATATTCAACAACTTATATTTATGTTGAACAACATATATTTATATTCAACATTTAATATTTATATTCAGCATTACACATTTTCTTTCAACTTCAACCAAAATTCTTTTCATTCAACAAAAATATTTGTTCAACTTCAACCAAAAATAATTTCATTCAACAACAATATTTGTTCAAGTCAACCCAAATGATTTTCATTCAACCAAAATAATGATTCAGCTTCTACCAAAATCATTTTCATTCAAAAACAATATTTGTTCAACTTCAAGCACAATTATTTTTATTCAACAATAATAATTATTCAACTTCTATCATGCATAGTGATTTAATAACATACCTTCTTTCATGACAAAGGTTTTGAAAGTTTCCGAACGAAGCTTTGTCTCAATAAATTAAAGCGTTCTTTAGCTTGATATAAACCCAATATGTCTCTGAAAATAGTCGCAATTCATAACAGACTGTCTGATCCGAGTCGGCAGTTTTAACGACATACAAAGCCGAATTCACGTGCCAAAGATCCTTGTATGAACATGCACTTGGTGCCTATCGATAACCCTTGAAATGCACGTTATTTTAAACGAGAAAGGCGCTTTCTAAACCTTCGATAGTGCAGCGATTAAAATCAACATACGAACGAACGGCCGTCATGTAATATTCAGGTCTCAAGCTGTGACTGACCTCTGTGTATGTTGCCTGTCAGAAATAAACTATTTTAGACTTGTTTGTCGCTCTTTCCTTGACCATCCCTCCTAGTATACGTAGATTTTGCCAGCGAACAGTTCTCTATGCCATTAAAGAAATTTTTTTGTATCGGAGACAAAACCAAAATAAAGATAAATAAAGTATAGACAAGGCTAATCTTTGGATATAAGGGAAAGTCTTAGACTTATTTATTTCTCGCTCTTTCCTTGACCATCCCTCCTATTAAGTTTTGCCATTAAAGCAGTTTTTTTCTTCGGAGACATCTATAAAAGATGCAAATAAAGTAGACAAGACTAAGTCCTTTGAACACTGGGAAAGTGGGATACCCAAATCCCTAGTGATACGGGTATCCCTTTCCAATGATGCTTGTTTGTTATTGTTTCTTTAATTCAGGGTAGTCAAATTGACCAAGGATTAAAAGGCAAAGCAAACCTTTTGTATGTCGTTATAACTGCGGACTTGGATCAGACAGTCTGTTATGAATTGCGACTATTTCCGGAGACATATTGGGTTTATATCAAGCTAAAGAACGCTTTAATTTATTGAGACAAAGCTTTGTTATCATAAGAAGATAAATGGGTTTTGAGCANCCGGCAAAATCTATGTACACTAGGAGGGATGGTCAAGGAAAGAGCGACAAACAAGTCTAAGCCAGAGTTTATTTCTGACAGGCAACATGACATACAGAGGTCGGTCACAGCTTGAAACTTGCATATTGCGTAATGGCCATTCGTTCGTATATTGATTTTAATCGCCACACTATCGGAGGTTTAGAAAGAGCCTTTCTCGTCTAAAATAACGTGCATTTGAAGGGTTATCGATAGGCACCAAACGCATTGTTCATACAAGGATCTTTGGCGCGTGAATTCAGTTTTATATGTTGTTATAACTGCGGACTCGCATCAGACGGTCTGTTTAATATGAATTGCGAATATTTTCAGAGACGTATTGTGTTTATATCAAGCTAAAGAATGCTTTAATTTATTGAGACAAAGCTTCGTAAGAAGATAAATGGGTTTTGAGCAGAATTGTGGATGATTTCACTTGCATCAGTTTTACGCTTTCAGTGTTTTGGGTACCCAAAACACTAGGGATTTGTGACAGCATTCGGGGTAGTTCGGGGGGAGGGACGGGGAATTTTGTTGAATGACGATATTTTGAATGTCTGGGAACTTTCAAAACCTTTGCCATAAAAGAAGGTATGCTATTAAATCACTATGCATGATAGAAGTTGAATAATTATTATTGTTGAATAAAAAATAATTGTGTTTGAAGTTGAACAAATATTGTTGTTGAATGAAAATGATTTTGGTAGAAGCTGAATAATTATTTTTGTTGA